TAATAAAGGTTTACAAATTGAAGGAATTTTGTAAAAAATAAAAATGTTAAAATTTATAAAAACACTACTGCCACTTAGTGTGATGATTCCTAACAAAACTGTCCACAATTCAAAAGGTCTTGACCTCCTGAACATAATGGCAGAAAACAGCAAATTTTAATCTAGTAAAGATCTCGAGATATGATAGTGTCATCTAGTGAGAGAATTCCGAATTAAATTGTCCACAATTAAAAAGGCTAGATAAAAAAGCAACTTTTTTATCTAGCAAAAATCACGAGATATCGACCCAACATTTAAACGAAATTTATAAGAACACCAGTTCAACCTAGCAAGAGAATCCCGAACTACACTGCCCACAATTCAAAAGGTTTTTGCAACATTGAACAACATAGCAGTGAACAGTAACTTTGCATCTAGCAGGGATATCGAGATTTTTACCCTGTAAGTACACACAGCTTATAAGAAGAATAGTGCCACCTAGTGAGAGAATTCCGAGCAACAATCCAAAAGGTTTTAGTCTCCTGAGCACACTCAAAAAAATCCACACACCTAATCGATGTGTTTAAACACTTGATATTTTATATGCACAATCACATTTATTTTAAGTGTATATCACATTGGCTCAATGTGTTACATACGTTAGATTCTAGTGTTTCAATCTTTGAAACGTTGAATATCTTTCACTGTCTATTCAAGTGTATTGCACATTGAATCACACTACTGTTCAAAACAGATGGATTTGAAGTGTTGCTCAGACAGGTCAACATCGAAAACATGAGTTTTGACTTCATCCTATCAACCAGCCTTATATATGAGAACAACCGTGGCGCAGTGAGATCGAACGAAGAAAGCAGCAGGACACTCCAACATTCCAGGATCGAATCCCAAATCAGACGCATTAAAAAAGACATTCCCTCTGGCAGCTTAGTTTATATATTTGACGATTCATTTTTTGAGTCGGTAAAGTAGAAGACGATAAAGAAAAATATACATTTTAACTAGTTCGTTTATTTGGAAGGCACAATCGCGTTAGCTCTACAGAGCCGATAGTTCATTGTTCTTTGTTTGTAACAAAATTCTCCTAATGCTATGTCTAGTTAAGGGTGTCCACGATGAAATTGCCACACACAAAATTGATTCGCAAAATTCGAGTTTTCATCCGATTGCCATCAAATTTTCAGGGATTGAGAAATAACTATTAAACTTCATTTTACCATTTTACTCGTATTTTATTTACAGTCCATACGCAAATGCCCGCACCTTGGCCTTAACCCCGACCATAAGATTCTGCACAACCTGTGAATCAACCGTTTTTTGCATGTAAACCCATACTTTCTTCAGTTCCTCGACTGTCTTCACTGCCTTAGGTCGTTTAAGAAGGTGCTGCTTCATAATCGCCCAGTACTTCTTGATGGGGCGGAGCTCCGGAGTGTTGGGAGGGTTGAACATTTTCGGCACGAAATTGACCTTATTGTCCGCATACCACTTCAGCACGTCCTTGGAGTAGTGGCATGAGGCCAAATCCGGCCAGAAGATTGTTGGGACGTTGTTGGCCTTCAGGAGAGGAAGCAGCCGCTTCTGGAGGCACTCTTTTATGTACACCTGTCCGTTCATCGTGTCCTGGGTCACGAAAGGTGCACTCCGCTTCCCGCACGTGCAGATGGCTTGCCAAACCAGGAATTTCTTCGCAAATTTGGACATCTTCTGAGTGCGGACATGCTCCGGAACGCTGAACTTATCCTTGGCCGTGAAAAACAGGTTGCCGGGGATCTGTTTGAAGTCGGCCTTCACATATGTTTCGTCGTCCATGATGCAGCATTCAGAAGCATTGTTCTGCTTCTCGTCGCGATTAGGGGCCTTTTGTACCTTGAACGTTCGAAGCCCAGCCTTAGTTTTGGCCTTCTGGACAAAACTTCGGCTTAGGTGCAGCTTCTTAGCCACATCCCTAACGGAGGCGTTCGGATTTCGGTTGAAGGCCCCAACTACGCGGTTGTGATTTTTGGTGTTGTACGGAATACTTTTTCCTTCACTTCTGGGCTTCCGATCGGTGGTCAACCGTTCCTCAAACCGCTTAATCACTCGCGACACCGTGGAATTCGCGATTCCCAACGTTTTAGCGATGGAACGATGCGAGAGATCCTTGTTCTCGTGATGAATGCGCAAGATTTTATCACGCACGAGCTGTTCTTTCGACTCCATTTCCACGAGTTTTGATCACAGGACTTTAAAACTTGCAGGATGTAAATAATGCACTATGAACTAAATCCACCCAAATTTTCATTAAATTCTACCCAACGGTTAAAAAGTTAGAGCAATTTCATAGTGTGGCAATTTCATCGTGGACACCCTTTAGGAGTTGGGCCGAATACTCGCGGATTACTCGAGGTTAGAGAGGTACATTGTCGAAGGATAGGATCAGGGGAGGAGCTTGGGGGTAAGGTTTCGTTGTCTTATCAGAGTGAACTATGATGAGCAATGGTACTGATATCACCATGTGAGGCACATAGAATCCAAGTGTGTCACAATTCAAATCAATAGTGTTCAGACATGGTTCATAGCATACGATTCAGATATGTATTGTGAAACATATCCATCACAATAAGAGCAAAATTAAGTGGGATGCAGATTATGATGACGTGTGGAATTTTTTGAATGCAACAAAGCAGAAAACAGAAACTTTGTGTGTCCACCCAGCATTTACAAAACATTTATAACAACACTAGTACCACCTAGTGAGAGATTTCCGAACTAATCTGTTTTGGTCTTTGCCTCCTGAACTACATGAAGAACGTGAGATATTGCATGTTCACAAATTTCCCATTAACACTAGAGCCACCTTGTGAGAGAATTATGAATAAAAGTAATACACTGTAGTGTTGGCCTTCGTTATCTAAATATATCACGAGAATTTTATTCTATAAAAGTTGATAGAAGAAGGAAGTTTTCTGCAAACACTAACACCACCTTGTGAGTTAATTCCGAAATACATTGATTCCCATTTTCAAGAGATTGGGACCATGGAATAATATTGATAAAGACATGTATAAATTTGGGCTCTAGTTTTTTTTATCTAGTTCGTTTATTTGTAAGGCTCCATCGCGTTAGCTTTACGGAGCCGATAATGCATTGTTCTTTGTTCGTAACAAAATTCACTTAATTCTATGTCTAGTAGGAGTTGGGCCGAATACTCGAGGATTACCCGACGTTAGAGAGGTGCATTGTCGAAGGGCTCTAGTTTCTCGACAGCAATCAAAAATGTAACTGATCTATAAATAGGTCACTGTGCGTTAATGGGTTAAAAACGCTATTTTGAGAAGATGTTTTGTAATAAATGCATATTTCGACATGATGTTTTCGGTAATATCAAGAAGATTATTCAGACCGATGAATGCGCCGAAATATGTTTATTTTTGATTAAAATGTAGTGAAAATCGATCATTTCCTAGGGGACGCGTATTACGCCACGTTCCCCTACATACAGTTTATCTAATGGCGCCAGGATAAAGTTAAGTATGAAGGAAGAGTATGACTTAGGTTTAAATTGGTCACGCATCTTCATTGCGTTCAATGACTTATAAATTTCTAATTTCAAAATCGTGAATTATTTACACAAATTATGCAAATTCTATTAAGAGGGGTGAATAAGTAAATAAAAGTTGCCAAAAAATCATAAAATCGAAATACTGTTGATCGAACGTGTTTTCCTTTGAAAACGCTTGCATCGTTCAAAATGGAACGCAACCGTCATTGTGTTGAAAATGTAAAAAAATCAACTCATTCTCCGAATTTCATCATCCTTCTAGAATGCTGCCACCCCGTCATCGCCGTCCGAACCTGGTTGAACAGGGCAGAGAACGCCAGAAAAAAAACTATAACAGAAAAATCCCAAACCGTATCGCAATCCACACGACACGACACACCACACACCTCCATCGTCGTCGGCATTCCCATAATATAATTTAAAAAGCAAGGCAAAATGAGTGGAAAGGAAAACAACACACTACTTTTGACTGACCGGATTGGGGCCCATTGACTCACACATACACATCCATACCAGCAGCCATTCGCGGTTCAGTGGGGTAGTGACGTCATGCACACACCACCCCACAGAGCAGCACAGTAGTCACCTTGAACTGACTACAAACAGCCTCGCACCAGCTCTTCTATCAGGCGCTGTTCACGTGAACAAGCAGCGCCGATTGCGACCGGCACACGGCTTTCATCCAAAGCCGATCGATGACAAGCTCGCAGCACCAGTGCAGAGCTCACCTCCCTCCGTCGTCGATTTGCCAATGCAAGCGAGCCCCCGGCCTCTGATTGGTTGGGGCCGGCTGACGACGAACGGAGCGCTGAGCTCATCATCCACTGTTCACGTGAACAGAGCGTGCTGTCGAATGTTCAGTGCGTGATCAGTGTAGAAGCATCGAGTGGGCCCCTCTCACACTAATGCAACGGGTGAAAAACAACGTCAATGGGCAGCCGGTTCATGGATGGATGGGTGTGTTTTATACCCACACAGACGCACGATACGTAGAACGGAAAAATGCGCCCACTAGAAATGGAAGGTGACCCAAAAGTGCGCCGCCGATGACGTCAATGGATTCGACTCGAAGAACATGACAGCTCATCTGTCATCAGATTCTGGCAGCAAGTGGAGCTATTTCATAGGTCCGAGCCCTCTCACGGGGTGTTGCATTCTTGATCTCTGTGGCCTCGGTTGCCCTTTCGGGAGCTCGATCCTAAATCCGGATAATTCATTGATGGCTTATTATTTTTAGGATCGTCGAGTACAATCCGGACGCGAAACCGTGGGTATCAGCAGCTGGCAGCGTGGTTCAGTGAACGAAAGTCCGATGAACCACCCTGTGCGACGACGTAGCACTGTGTAGTATACGAAGACGATTCAGGCGAGCGCACACACTAGCAAACGCCTGCTACGAACCGACACCATTCGGCTGTGTGTTGGTGCTCATCGAGGCAGCTATGAAGAGCACTGTAAACCCTAAACAAAGGCTTACAACATTCTGTGCCGTCGAAGAAAGCGGACGTGTAAAGTGAAAAGTGCGAATTTCGGCTCTCTTGCCCAAAAAGGCCCCCGGAAAGAAGGTGAATTGCAAGTGCAAGTGCGCGCTCGACACAGCCAAGGAAAGTGATTCCACGCTCTATAGTGGTGAAACAGGCTGAAAAATAAATTCAGTTGAAATCGAGTGTTCAGGAAGAGACAAGTGCTACCAGACAGCAGCAGAAACAGAAGCTTGGAAAATTGTGAGACAAACTGAAGGGAAAAAAGCGGAGTTTCAGTGCGAAAACGTTCCAAGTTGAAATAACGCCAAAGTTAAAAGATTGAAGTTCGCAAGCAGTTCGTGTGAAAAGAAGGGATAAATCCATTAAAAATCTGTGCTTAGATGGAGGATACTGGAATACTACCGTCTCCTCCGGCAACGCCACCACTGGAAACCGGCAAAGATCCCAAGGTAGGTTCTTATCAACTTCGGGGAATAGATAGATAGTGCCTATTACAGAAAATTAAAAAATTCCCACCGCAATCAGTTTGAAGTGTTGCTAATTATCCGTTATCTCCGTGCTTAAACGAGTGATTGGCACTCAAAATGGACAATCATTCATCCGCGAATGTTCTGTGTCAAAATATTTCGCAAAACTCACGCCGCGATAAGTCAGCGAGATTCCATACGTTGCCCGCCACCAGCGGCTGCGATAATGTCGTAGCCATAGAATGACTTTTTGCTCGACATTTGGCGTTTTCAAGCGTTTGATAACCCGTTTTTTCAAGCGATGAATCGCCGGAAGCGAAATTTGGACCGTTCAGCTCGAGTGAGCACGTACGGTGGCACTGTCACGTGCCTTCCAAACCACTAGGCGGCCGGGATTTTTACAAGGACGTAGCGTTTCAGGTTTCATAATTCACTATCATTACTTAGATTGTTGGATTTGAAAAGGAAAAACGGCCTACTTTCGCTTGAAAGCGATTCCGAATCGTAAAAATATGATCATTCTAAAAATAGAATTCCCACACACACCGCCCAGACGGTTTCATTTTTTTACTGTGTCACCTTGCGGCCGAAGCGTCGCAAAATTAATTGTCAGCCATCCGGAGCATGATCTCGTATACCGGCGGCGGCGGCCTACCCGTGTTATTCGAGAACAAATTCAGTGCAGCTGCAAACACTGGCTGATGGCCACGAAGCGACCAGGCGGAGTTCACGTGTCCACAACAACTGCCCTGTGCCTCTCCCTTCATCATCTACGATGGGAAAAAAGCTATTTTTACTCCTCCCGGATCCACGATTACGAAGTTGGCCTGAAGATCGTGTTATCAGAAGAGCGTAGCTCTCTCGTTGCCGCCATTGAATGGAATTCTTGGAAATTGCAGCCTTGCAAGCTCCACCCACTATTAGATTTGATTACAATGAAAACATGAAGCGATAGTGGAAAATTTTGACTTGAACCGATTCATTGAAACTTGAGACCTCTACTCAGCTCTCTGACTTACCCTATCGAGTCGAAATCTATTTTGCTCTCCCCAAAATACTAGTGAAATAGACAAAAGCAGATCGCTGCACTAAAAATACTGCTCTGCAGGGCTAAAATTAGCGTGCAACGAGAGCAATTTCACTACCGTCAAAGTAGCGAGGGCAGGCGACATTGCAGAAGCAACCTTGCGTCACCGCGATTGCAATACTGCTTCACACGGCAACGACTTTTCGAACCGTCAGGAAGCACACCCTATACCCCATATATAAATAGATAGTGTTAGTACCCACCATCACCCAACCGAGCAAGCGGGGCGCGCGCGCCATAAAAAAAAATGCGACGTCAAACAACACAACCCAGGCCACTGCGATGATGCGGCAGCGAAGGGTGTGAGCGCTTGGCCGTCTGCCGTCCCGCTCTGGCGCATGTAAAGTTTGAACACAAACGACAACCATCCCGCTCGCTCCCATTGATCACGCCGTGATCACGCAGCCAGCGCTCGAAATCAGCTGGTGTTCACGTGAACACTGCATGCCACCGTTCGTTTGCCTGTTTTAAAAGGCATTCGGGTAGACTTTGGACCCTGCTCTTCGTAGAGTGTTGTTGTTTTCGTTTCGCCTCTCTCTTGCTCCCTGGCGGCGCACACCTCTGCTCAATGACGTCGTGCCGCTTTTGCGGTTTCGCCTACTGCGATGCCCCTCGATGTGGGTAGAAGAGCGAAGAACGCTCTTGTTTCATGTTTTTTTTTTTGCGTTATGAAGTTGCTTTTTTCTGCTGCCTCATCCCCTTCGGGGACTGTTGAATGCAGCTCGTAGTGACTGACTGTGGAATTAATGACACAACTTGAGTTGGCGGGCGGTTACACACCCATTTTGCGCCCCAACCAAACGCGTACGTGACTGAGCGCGTGTTTTGGTCACTTTCCAAGATGGCCGCTTGAATTTGAATTTTTTGTGTGACAAGGCCGTTTGCCCCTGTTCGCCACTTGGCAGGCACCCATTTGTACGATATGAACGCTTCCGTTTGCAATTGAAACGCTCGCTAACCTGAACCATTTTCCTCTTTCTCTCTCTGCTCTTTCACAGACTACTACGGAAATCAAACAAGCTCTGAAGCGCAAATTAGAACAGAACCAGTTGTCGCCACGTGTCACAGAAATGCTGACCAAGGGCTTCACCACACCCAACCATTCCGATCTATCGGAGGATGAATCTGATCTACCACCGAGGAAGCGCCTGTATGTGCGCGATCCGATCCAATTGGAGCAGCATTACCACCACACATCGCTGACTCCACCGCCGTCGGATTTCTCCGGATCCGAGGACGAGAATACCAAATCAGCAGACGATGCTCAACTCGCTCAGCCACAGCGCGAGAGTGTCATCATGCGGATCAACAAAGATGGTTCCTGCACCTCGGCCAAGGAACCGGACGCCAATCTGAATGTATTCCGTTGCGTCAAGTACAAAATGGGACGTCGTTCGCCCTTCCTGCCCATGGAACCGCAAACATTCGTCCGGGATGAATCCGTTGAACAGCAGCCGACCAACAGACAGATCCAAGAGCATATCACATCGCGAGAACCATCGGAGGAACTGAGCGCCGTGCCCGCTCCCAGTAATTACCCTAGTCGAGTATTAGAGCAAAGCCAGCAGTATGTACCTATCGTTCCTTCCGTTGTACCTGTCGCGGCCCCGGCAATGCATGCTCCCGCTTCAATGCCGAAGCCTGCACCGGTTAAGCCACAAACCTCGCTTCCTGTGATAGCTCCCAAGATTCCGCAACTCATCCTAGCCACTCAGAATGGTTTCATCCTGGTCCCACCGCAAATCTCACAGAATCTGCTCAGCCAGGGCAACGGCAAAGCACTTTTGGTCCCTCAGCCGACCAACGCAGCTGCCGTTCACGTCCCAACTGCCCCTCAGAAGCCAGAGCGCAGACGAATCTACGAGTGCGAACACCCGAACTGTGGCAAGAACTACTTTAAATCCAGCCACCTGAAGGCCCATCAACGGATCCACACTGGTGAAAGGCCATTCATCTGCAAGTGGACGGACTGCGGCCGTCGATTCTCCCGATCCGATGAGCTGTCCCGCCACAAGCGCACTCACACCGGTGAAAAGAAGTTCGTCTGTCCCGTTTGTCAGCGACGATTCATGCGATCGGATCATCTCTCCAAACACGTCAAGCGACACAACAAGGACAAAGGTCAGAAGGGTCAACAGCAGCAGCAGCAGCATCAAGCGCAACAACAGCCGCCGAACTACCCAGTTTCGATGTACCAGGACGCATCCTCCATTCCGGTACAGTTCGTCACGGCGGCACCAGTTTACTAAGTATATCGTATCTGTGTACGTGTTTTACAAGTCTTGTAAATATTCTCGGAACTGACTAGATCTTAGCTTTCACGCGATCGCGTCTATTGTTTGTGCTGTCCCTTTCTCTTTTCGGGCCTTTCCCACAGCTAGAGAGAGATGATGTTCATTCCAGATTACAAATCTACTATATCCTACTGTTACTGGAAAGGGAACGGTTAGATGACGGAATTATTGGCGGTAGTGAGGAAGCGAATTTGTTACACAACTTTAGTTCGTTTCGTTCAGGGACTTACACAGCGTTTTTGTTATCGTTTTTGTAAATGTTTTGAGTTTCCTTTTCTTATGTTAATGATATAATATAAAACATCTGTGATCGTTTAAAATTACATTAAATTTAAGAGAGTAATGGTCGTTTTACTAATCGTATCGAGTTTTAGTAACTTATTTAAAAACCTAGAATGAAAGAGAGAAAGCGTTAAGTTCACCTATTTGTTCAAACCCAGAACTGTTATAAATATGTTTTATTCATATGTGAAAAAATCAAGAAAAGAAAAAGAATGAATCAATGGAAAAAAAGAGAGAATACAAATCTATCAATTACACATGAAAATATACACGGCTTTTCTCATTCGGTTACGATATCACAAAAACTCCCTCATACTCCGTCTGCCGCAAAAGTCCACCTTGGCACGTGTCGCGCTAATTTACCCCACAAAAAAATAAATAAAGAAACATACCGATGGAAAAGTACTCCACCGTTCGCACACTCACAGACACACACTCGTACACGCAAACTGTTATTGCCGCTGACGCGCTCTTTCGATAAACCATTTCCTTCCCCAACGGTTCACTCGAGCAGTCGTCTAAAATGTAGGATAAGGCGAATTTCTTTCCACAGCGTTTACCGTGCAATGACGTCATTCCCGGTCGCTGGCAAAAGACGTGGGTGTACACGCCTCCATGCCGTGATCGCATCGAACGAACAAACAGACACACACACACACACACTAACACTCAAACAAAGCAGGCGCGCGCGTTGGGGGTTTTTTTTTTGTTTTGATTTTTCCTCAAACCCAGCAACCCGCGAGCACTCCAAGCAAGCCCAATCGTTGTGGTGTCTGCTTGCGTCAGCGTTCTCATATATATGTGTTTGTGATTGTGTGTGTGTGCTTGCTTGGCTGGTGTGTGGGAAGCGGCAACGGTGTTACAACTTCATCACGCCGCCCGCCCGGCGGCCAGGAGGAAAAGCGGCCTAACGGCCTCCTGTGGCTACACTTGCACACTTCCTCCTCATCCGAGCAAGCTGACGTAAAACCGTATTTAACCTCGATCTTTGGGGAAGTAATTCTTTCTTTTTTTTTTTTTTTGGTCGGTTTGGGAACCGAAATTTTTGCGAACCGGCAACCGGCAACAAATGTTCGGTTAGAAAATGGATTGGCAATTGCCATTAGAACAAACAGGTTGAATAACACACCGCCGCACGCGAATGACCTGCCGCCACGCCAAACCAAGCGAGGTGGGGCCCCGGAAGGGGAACCCGTTCGGTGGTTCCATTTTCTTCCATCCAGTACCGAAAAGCGCGATCTCCGGATCAGGTCCGTAATGAGCGATGCGAGGTCTTGACGTTTGTTTGTTTGTTGGTAAAAGGCGAAAATCCCAACGAGAAGCGCGTGTTGGCGCACTTGGCGGCCGAAATGGGTTTGCCATTTATTTTTCTGGCGCAAAAACTGGAGCACTGGAGCAATTAGGTGGGATTCTTCTTAGCGGTTGCAGCAACGCAGAACCGGCATTCTTTGAAATGCAATTTCGGGGTATTTAGCTGTTCATACAAATTTATAATTGGGAAAAAGTTCAATTTATTTTTTTGGAAAGGGTTGAGTGAGAAAATTGGAAATTTTCCAAACTATCAATTATGCTGAATAAAAGTGTTGTGATGTTAATAAAGAATCTTGAATGTGAAGCGGCCCGAGAATAAACTCTGATAATTAAGTAAAATCGGTCACTCTAAGGCCACCGAGCCCTTCATATCGCATCACACCACTTATGATCGAGTTATTGTTGGTATCACTCAAAGACGACACCGACGACGATGATGCCAAGTTTCGCGAAATACACGATGAGCAAGCAATGTGACTCTTAAACTCCATAATATGAAGAGACTTGGGATTGATCCCACGGTTTTATGCTCAGTAAGCAAACTTGGGTGTCTAAGGTAGCCGACTCCCCTAACATCACAACACTTATGATCGAGTTGAAGATATCCCAAGTAAAATTGCAAGTTTTATCGATTTACAAGTCTAAATAATGGTCTACAGAACCCTCATAGAACCAAAATTGTTACTAGGGGTACTCATTCATACATATAACAGTTAAAGGGTGTCCACGATGAAATTGCCACACTATGAAATTGCTCTAACTTTTTAACCGTTGGGTAGAATTTAATGAAAATTTGGGTGGATTTAGTTCATAGTGCATTATTTACATCCTGCAAGTTTTAAAGTCCTGTGATCAAAACTCGCGGAAATGGAGTCGAAAGAACAGCTCGTGCGTGATAAAATCTTGCGCATTCATCACGAGAACAAGGATCTCTCGCATCGTTCCATCGCTAAAACGTTGGGAATCGCGAATTCCACGGTGTCGCGAGTGATTAAGCGGTTCGAGGAACGGTTGACCACCGATCGGAAGCCCAGAAGTGAAGGAAAAAGTATTCCGTACAACACCAAAAATCACAACCGCGTAGTTGGGGCCTTCAACCGAAATCCGAACGCCTCCGTTAGGGATGTGGCTAAGAAGCTGCACCTAAGCCGAAGTTTTGTCCAGAAGGCCAAAACTAAGGCTGGGCTTCGAACGTTCAAGGTACAAAAGGCCCCTAATCGCGACGAGAAGCAGAACAAGTCCGCCAAAACCCGTGCCAGGAAGTTGTACCTCAACATGCTGACGAAAGTTGAATGCTGCATCATGGACGACGAAACATATGTGAAGGCCGACTTCAAACAGATCCCCGGCAACCTGTTTTTCACGACCAAGGATAAGTTCAACGTTCCGGAGCATGTCCGCACTCAGAAGATGTCCAAATTTGCGAAGAAATTCCCGGTTTGGCAAGCCATCTGCACGTGCGGGAAGCGGAGTGCACCTTTCGTGACCCAGGACACGATGAACGGACAGGTGTACATAAAAGAGTGCCTCCAGAAGCGGCTGCTTCCTCTCCTGAAGGCCCACAACGTCCCAACAATCTTCTGGCCGGATTTGGCCTCATGCCACTACTCCAAGGACGTGCTGAAGTGGTATGCGGACAATAAGGTCAATTTCGTGCCGAAAATGTTCAACCCTCCCAACACTCCGGAGCTCCGCCCCATCGAGAAGTACTGGGCGATTATGAAGCAGCACCTTCTTAAACGACCTAAGGTAGTGAAGACAGTCGAGGAACTGAAGAAAGTATGGGTTTACATGCAAAAAACGGTTGATTCACAGGTTGTGCAGAATCTTATGGCCGGGGTTAAGGACAAGGTGCGGGCATTTGCGTATGGACTGTAAATAAAATACGAGTAAAATGGTAAAATGAAGTTTAATAGTTATTTCTCAATCCCTGAAAATTTGATGGCAATCGGATGAAAACTCGAATTTTGCGAATCAATTTTGAGTGTGGCCATTTCATCGTGGACACCCTTTAAACTACAATGAATGGAGTTAGGTAAGCTTCGAACCAGGAATCGATAAAAGCCCGGTATCAAAATACCAACCTTAAGGGGGGTACATTTCCATCCAACACCAATAAACTCACCCGTGGTATCCCTTGAGCCCCTTCATCGTTGGCCAAACTGCGAAAGACGAAATAAAAAAGAGATTGAAAAGTAAACAAAAAGGTGCAAAGATGGCCAAAGCTCATAATGTGAGGAGCCGACCTTGAGTCTACGGAGCATCAAGCTCTAGCTAGCCATCAAACTTGTCACAAATCGGTTGTAGAAACTTCTGTGTGATTTATTGAGTATTCAAACAAGTTGCTGCATCTTTTCGTGGCGACAAAATGTGCTATTCGGGGATAGAGATCAAAAACTATCAGACTTAGCCGTTTGGCTCCAAAACTTCTTCTTTGCATTTATCACGTCCCTACTGGGCAGTCTTGTAAGTGGTCACGGTAGTCGACACATTTTCTATGATAATCGTCTGCCGTTGCCTCCGACATTTGCAAAACAACCTATCATAGTACAGTACCAAACTAAAATGTCATATGACAGGCTCTGTCATACGACACTGCCGCCGAAGACCGTCACGAATGTGTGTATTTTAGTTTTTCACATAATAAGAGCTGCTGATGTTGTGCTTGTGTGAATTCTGAAACTGGCAAGCAATGATGTCCTAGTAATAACATTTCTGATCAGAAATAGTTTAATTTACACAAAACTGAGAAATTAGAACGAAATCACATTTGTCATATGATAGTTATTTGATAATTTTCTTTTTGCTCGAATGTTATTCTACCGTTTGTGTTTTGTGAAAGAGACGACGGTAGAGCATGAGTGTACGAATACAAACAGACCGTCGCACACGACAACGAAGCGAGTGTAGTAAAAAACGTCAACTGTTTCAACCCCTGCTACTGGGACTTTCGTGGGCCGTCAACTTAGTGTTCTTTTTGCACTTCCACGGTTGTTAACTGGGAGCTTTCGAAGCCTATACCATTTTTGCATTAGTAATAATTGTGTGGCAAGTACAATCATACTCTATGTCCAGGGAAGTCGAGAATGTTTCAACTGGAAAAATTCCAGCTGGCCTTCAAATGGCTTTGCTTTATAACTGCCCCTTTACCGACTGAGCTAAGGGAGTTAGCTTTGGAAACATCGGATTACATTTTTTGCTCGGATATAGCTTATCTTTTTGCAATCATGGTGACCAACGAATTCTGATTATCAGTTTTCCGGTTTTCCCTGGAATTTAAAGGGTGTTTTCGATAAAAATGGCACACACATATTTATTCACCAAAATTTTCCACTTTCACCAAAAAATTCCACCAAAAACCGATTATCGGATTTTCTTGAAATTTTCAGGGAATGAAAAACTACCAATGATTTATGAGTTACAAAATTTGTTTTACTAAATTTCAATAATTCCAAGCTCTGTTTTAATAGTTTTGGGAAGTTTGCAAAGTTCCGTCTTCATAATTGCTCAGCAGTTTTAAATTGGGCGAAGTTCCACTGAATTTGGTGGGTTCAAAAGTTGGCACAAAATTGACTCCGTTGGCTCGGTACCACTCCAACACGTTTCGAGCGTAGTGGCAGGATGCTAGATCAGGCCAAAACAAAATTGATCCTTTGTGCTTCCTTATGAATGACAAGAGACGCTTCGTAAGGCACTCTTCCGTGTAAATCGCACCGTTGATTGTTCCACAATCGCCTGCCAGATCAGGAA